CACTTGAAGACAGAAGAAAGATGTCTAGACTATGCATGATGTACAAAATGACTAATAAACTGGTGGATGTCCCAACTACTAAGTACCTAATACCAGCTCAGAAGAGAACAAGAAATAGCCACGCATTCAAGTACCAGAGTTATCAACCAAGGATTGAGGTGTTCAAGAATTCATTCTTTCCTAGAACTATCGCAGAGTGGAACTCACTGTCACCAAGTACAGTAGGGGCACTGTCAATAGATAGCTTTAAACAATGTCTAGAGCTAGAAGTTCAAGGGTTAGGTGTAACAAGTCAATCGGTGTAATATAGCCAGCTGCCGCCGCGCCACGTGCCTGCGAAGCTGGTGTGTTACGCCGAAAGGCGGTTATACCGGCTATACAGATACAGATACAGATTGGAAGGTGGAGCCCATCCCTCTCCTTTTACCACTTTTTACCTCTGCAACCATACCCATTTACACTTACAGAAAAAAAGTCAGGATAAAGATAAGCTTCAGTCTTAAGGACATCTGGACCAGTAGAATGCCTCCTCTTGAAAGTGGAATTGTAATTAATGTTAATGTAATAGCTTATATTATGTTATGATTAATTGGGAAGTCCTGAGATTAAACCCCAGCCAGATCATACTGGTACCAAAGACATAAGTTGCTTTCTCTGCTTAGCACTCAGCATCTTTCTATTAGAAGTCAGGCTCCGGCCCTTAATATTCCTAGCACTCATCAACAACGCCAGTGAAGACGCCAGTGCAAGAAAATGGAAATTCCTAGATGACCTTAATCTAGCAGAAAGCCGGAAAATCACCACGACATCCCGTCTCCAAACTGATCTCGACAGTCTCAATTCTTGGACAAAAAGACAGAAAATGAAACTGAACCCTAAGAAATGTAAAGTAATGCACGTTTTCTTTACAAAAGTCACACCGATACCACCACCACTATCCATCGCCGGCGAACCACTGAACGAAGTAAAAGTTGTTAAGTTACTCGGCCTATTCGTGCAAGCGGACCTTGGCTGGGAAACGCATGCTGACCACGTAGTGAAGTCCGGTAACAGAAAACTGTTCCTGCTCCGACAGCTACGACGCCTCGGCCTCTCTCCGGACGATCTACTCACTTGTTATAAGACCTTGGTCAGACCAGCTTGTGAGTATGCTGCTCCGGCATGACAAACAAACAAACCGGGACTCACAAAGAAACAACGTGCAAGGATCGAGACCATCCAGAAAAGGGCTTGCCGGACAATATTGCGCCCCGCCTACACTTCCTACCCAGAGGCATGCATAGTACTCGACCTGCCGACCCTAGAGAACCGGCGCCGCCAGCTGTGCTACAACTTCGCTACACGACTGCTGCATTCAGAGACTTTTAGAGACTGGTTACCCCCATACCGCAGCGAGATCAGTGCCAGAACAACAAGATCGCCAAATATACTTGACTCTGTTAAAGCACGTACGAGCAGATACCAAAAAAGTCCTATCCCCTATATGACAACCCTCCTGAACGAGCAAGACACATAAGCCAACACTGTGTATTTTATTATATGACGCCCCTTGTTTATAAGTACTTAGTATAAATCCTATATGAA